GTGCGGGGATGCCATATAACGGACCAGTCTTTATTTGCAGAATCTTGCCAGAAGCTAAATCTCGAATTGAAGACGGATCTGAGACTGAAAGTGGATAATATTGAAACAGTCACAGACATGCCAAGCGACGAAGTAGATTTCACCTTAGGCTGCGAATCATAACCATGCACAGACTTTCCTGCAATAAATTTGCTTTCAACACTCACTATCGTTCTAAACGTTAAAAGGTAATATACCGATTTTACACCGGACTAATACAGAGATTTTGTATAACGTCAAAAATTATTAATGCTTATAAAGGAATTGTTTCCCTCTTTCAATAATTTCTGATCATTTAGAGTATACGTGTAAATTTAATGATTAAAAAATGACCAAATTTTTGTTTAATTCTTAGCACGAGGCACAGATGTCAACGCAGACTACGGAGTTGGTCACCGTCATTGCTGTACCGACATTGTCTTCAGTAAGTACAGTAACCTCCTCAACAAGGCTAGCTTTTTATACTCTAACTTTCTAAGGAATTGATTTTTTAAAAGTTTTTCCAATCTTCCTCAAAACGGATTCTCTTACTCGTGTAGGAATTTTTTGTGCACAAGCCAGGTACCTCACCTTTCCTTTTACTGCAGATAAATCCTTTGGAACTTCAATGTCCTTAGCTTTTTCGGTCTCCTTTTTAACAATGTCTTGAGCTTTTTTTAAAAAAAAAAAATTTCTTCTCAAGTAACCTAAATATCAATTTTGTTGATAATCTGTTTTCCTCCTTGATCATTTATATCCCAGGGTGACTGTAACTGAGGTTTTTCTAACTCATGGTCATGTTCCATATCCTGCAACTTAAACAATGATGTAGAGAGTTCAGTATCTTGAGGTTGAGATCTTACTGTTTTGGTTTGAAGAACTTGTACCTTATTCATCAAGGATTTAGACAAACTTTCATACTATGCAGAAGAAGATTAATCAAATACTAGTAAGCACTGGATAAGTACAGAAGCTCGTGTTAACCATGACTCTTTATTCAACCAATTTTCATTTCTAAGAGGAAACCAGTTGAAAAAAATTAAATACAGATTAATATCACAATACGTATCATGATACAACCTCAGTGTATCACCATACATCATGATACGCTGCTTTACATGCTTTAATCGTATCATTACACCTCTACTTTAAACTGCTATATACGTCCTTGATTTTATTTACATAATGCTGACAAATAAAAAAATACAATCGTTCGTAGTCTTAAATATTTTGTGTTGAAAAATAGATGGTAATGGATGCTCCTTCGTCGGACCAGATAGCGAGATGAAATGCTCAGAACATAGTCTACAACTTGTTGGCTTCCAATTCTTGCGACTGATACGGGTTTTCCATATCATTTTATATTTTTAATTAACTGGAAATCTATGTAATGTCACTTTCCTGTGCTGAACACATTTTCTACTATAATAGTGGCAGTTCGTGGCGCAACAGTATAATTTTCCCATCACAAATGACCAAATTTATTACTTGTTTAAAGAAGATGCATTTACAGACTTTACCTACCGGAAGTACTAAGTAGATAATCTTCTAACACAAGAGTTCCGATTTTCAAGAAAGATAACTTAGTTTTAGAAAGACGCTATAGATATTTGTCTGTTCGTGTTTGTGGGATACTTGATTGTGAAAGCAATTATGTGTGTTTGTGTATCGTTTGTCAGTCAATATGACTACAAATATAAGTATGTTCATTGATTGCTGGTCACTGTTCTGAAATGCATGTGATGACCTAAGTAAACATGTGTGTCATGTTATGTGAATCACTTTGTCAGAATATATAAATTTTAAACTCCTGATAAAATACATTAGACTTATTTTGTGAGTACCTGAAAAGGAACCTTTAAAACACGTTTATTTTCCATCAATTTTGAAATAACAAATTCAACATTGTTAATAGCACACTTAATATTTCGAAGAGACATAGGAGGATTTGAAACAAAAGGAATTTCATACCAAGATTCAAAATCTTTCAAAATAAATGGATTTGTGCCAATTTCTTTCCATTTACCAACATTTCTTTTAAAACTGTGCTTTAGCAATGACATTTGTTTTGAATTATTGTTCTAAAGGCAATTCACCTGGCAAGCAAGAGTAGAATAGCTTGTATAACCTGTATACCTATCATTGACTTTGTGACTTGTTTTGGGGGCAGTTGGTTTCCAGTGCCCGGTGGAAAAGCAGTTAAAGCAAACTTCACTGGGGTGTGGCTGACGCCTTGCAGGTTGGTCACGAAAGGGCTGCTGCTAGTATGTAAATTGTTGAAATGCAGCAGTAGAGGAAGACTCATCAGAAGTAATTTTGGCTGCCGAGCCTGCCTCTGCCGCCGCTAAATAGGTTCCGAAGGTGCCATACGGGTGAAAACGCTTGTTCCGCGCTTTTTTCAGCCTGAGAGGGCGGTTTTCAACGCTTCTGATTTTCTTCTCATCTTCAGAGTCGTCGGCAATTTCTTTGGATTGATCTCATTTACTGTTTTCCATCCTGCAGGAGAGGAACCGGCAATTCGAATTGATTCTGTTGCAGTTTTTTCCGCAGTTGGCCTATAATTGGCACTGACTCACTATCTTTAGAAAGCTCTTTCTTCTATTTTATCTAGACCCTCGAGAATTTCAGCATTAAAATCGTACTGAGCACGATTCCGTTCACATTTAATCTTTAGAATAGAGTTTTCTTTAAGTTTCTTAGCAGTGGAGTACGACTGTTCTGCTCCAAGCTGGCTTGAAAGATTTTGAATTAAGACTGCAAAACTCCCGTATAAACAAGCTTCACCATGCCCGAAATATCAAATGGGGGATTGCCAGCAGTGTCCTTTCAAATTCTGTTACTTTCGTTGGTTTCTAATAAAATTTCGTCTCCAGAATCGCCCATTACAAAATATTGAGAAAGACGAAAACGTGTGTAGACTGCACGAAAGAGGGCCTTCGAATGGCTTTCCCTATACAAAATATTTTTCATGGCTACTAATAGCCCGTGCTATGAAAATTGATGCCACCTGACAAGGTGACAATTCTTGCATCCAATAGATGACGATTGATTGATTGTTTGTTGTTTAACGTCCCTCTCGACAAGTTTTCACTCATGTGGAGACGCTACCACTTGCCGGTGGAGGGCTACAAATTCTGACTACACGCGGCACCTACGGCCATTGAGCAGTGAGGGGTCTTTTTCGTGCCAGCACCTACTGCGACACGGGACCTCGGTTTATACGGTCTCATCCGAAGGACTGGTCTCCACGTCCCACAGTGGGATTGGATCATCTCATTACTCCGCGACTCTAGAGCAGACCTTCTAACCAGTGTTCCTTGTGGGCGACAAATAGATGACGAGAATAAACTTAGTCGGTAGAGCATCTGTTGAATGATGCAGGGGTTCCGAGTTCGATTCAGCCATAAATTTTCTCCTCTCCTGTTACAGATTTGGTGCCCTTGACCACTCCTGGACTTGCAGTTAAAAGTCCTGCCAGGGGCTAATAAGAACTTGGTCTGTGTCTTCGATGACAAAGACAATTTAAGGAGGGAGAAATGTAATGGTTTGAGCTGTTGATATCAGCTTGAGCAGCTCAGTCGGTACAGCACCTTGACTAGTGATGCGGTGGTCCCGGGTTCGATTCCCGGTCCAGCCATACATTTTCTCCTTTCCTGTAACCCCTCTTTTTAAGATGACCTGAAAACCGTTCATCTCTAGACTTGGAGGTTCTAATCATTCCAGACATTTATTTTGTAAGAAAATATCTAATTCAGTATGCCTTTATTCTGAAAACCCATAGAATCCGCATAAGCAGCCTTTGTGCAGGTAGGGGCTACCCATACATTACGAGAAACACAATTATATGCAGGGTATTTACCGGAGCATGCCAAAATGTTTAGAAGCATTAAGAGGAGAAATGTTCTTTCTTTCCATTTTGTTGTTTTAGTTTCGTTTCAGTTTCGTTATATCTCCATTAATCTTAACTTTTGTATTCTAAATGCATCTCTAACATAAATAAACAATGTTTAGAACAGTAATTGATTCCGACAGTTGCTTATGGGTAGCCCTAAAATTGTTTATATTGAAAGCCCTGTCTCTGTAGAACTTGTTATTTGATAGTCTGCGAATTTCCTGAGTATGTAGCTGAAATGCATGTTATAATGTATATCAGATAACATAATGTATCCATAGTGAAAAGACCTGTTTGTATTTATTCATACAAAACAAACTGGCGATGATTATGTTTTAAAATACTGCAGATAATTCCATGGAAATTTTCGTGTCGTAGTATGCTGCAAAGTTTCTGTGATTAATAGTATTGGTAGATATCCTTCAGAGGGTAAGAGACTACAATAATAAAAAGTCATCTTACAAAGTGGTAATTAGAGGCAAACAACTTATATTTATAAACATCAAATTGACAAAGTTGCTACATACTAACATTCCACGTTTTACACAATGCCTAAATTCAAAATTTCGAGAAAATAAGGATTTATGACGGTAAAAATGATGCTCCCAGATACATGTTCATTGTAGAATATATCAATTGACTTATGAGTACGAATAACTTCATGTAAATGTCTTGGAAATGTAACAAAATAATACAGATGATAATATCTAATCCAGTTTTCACAAAATGCCATGACCATGTGCGCTTTCCAATTTATGTTTCATTAAAATATGCAAAAACAGTTTGACGACAATAAGCGTATCTTTACATATTTGATAACTAAACAGTATTACACATTTTGCACATAAAACTTACTCTTTGGACTCTTTAACAACAACGAAACAAGTGGTAAATTTGTCGTTGACAAAATGCGGGATCTTCCCGGATGTACACAAACATAATCTGAAACACTATAAAATCTGAACCGGAACGTATAATATCCGTAACACCACACTCCCCTTCTGATTTCTATGGGAAATCACTTTTTGTGTTTACATTACTGAAAATAATAGATCTAAAGAATAAATGTACAACATGGTACATCAAATCATTACGAAAACACAAGGGGCACAAGTTTATGGATGGGTCTTACATATACTGACACAGTGTCCCCTTTAACGACACGAACTTCGACTTCTCGTACACGTCCATCAACTGAAGTGAAAGTTTTGGTCACAAGAGCCAACGGCCACTGATTCCTTAGATTTTCAGCCTCCTTCAACATGAGAACATCTCCTTCTTTCAAACTACGTTCATCAGAAGTCCACTTGCGTCGAGTCTGAAGAACAGACAGATACTCTCGTTCCCATTTACGCCAAAATTCAGCTGCAAGAGCTTGTACGTAACGCCACTGAGACTTATATAACTCTTTGGGATCTATTGTGGGTAATGATTCGGGTAAGTGTCCTGTCTTTTGAGTGAGTATCATCGCAGGTGTAAGGACAGATGGGTCGCTGGCATCCTCTGATATTTCGGTGAGTGGTCGTGAGTTCACTATGGCGCAGACTTCTGAAAGAAATGTAGACAAGGTTTCATGGGTTAAACCTTTCATTCCATCTCGCAGAAGGATACCATCTAAAATTGTGCGAGTTACACCGACCATTCGCTCCCACACTCCACCAAAGTGGGAAGCATGTGGAGGGTTAAAGAGCCAGGAACAATCCTTGTCTTGAAGGAATTTCTGCACTGTGGGCTTCTCAACGAATTGGTGCACCATCTGTAATTCATTTACAGCGCCAACAAAGTTGGTCCCTCTGTCTGAGCGGAATTGACGGACAGGTCCTCGTACGGAAAGGAAACGCCTTAATGCGTTAATAAAGGAGGAAGTACTCAATTCCTCTACAAGCTCGATGTGGATTCCCCTGGAGACCAAACAAGTGAACAGAACTGCCCACCTCTTACTTGTGGCTACTCCTCCTCGCGTACGTCGAGTTGTGACATCCCAAGGTCCAAATGTGTCGACGCCGACGAATGTGAATGGGGGTCCTTGAGTCAATCGATCTACTGGAAGGTTAGCCATCTTTTGATTGCAGAATGATCCTCGTAACCTGCGACATGTAATACACCGATGGATCTCTGATGCTATGAGACGCTTGGCTCCTATTATACAGAATCCTAATGACCGTATCTTGTCTTCTGTTATCCGACGTCCTTGATGGAACACACTGTCATGGAAGTGTCTTATCAACAGTGTTGCTACATGAGATTTCTTTGGTATGATTATAGGATGCACATCAAAGCTGACAAACTTCTGAGCTATGCCAATCCTACCACCAACACGCAATAAACCGTTTGAATCTAAGAATGGTGCCGAAGCAATAATGCTGCTATTCTTAGGAATGGGCTTTCCCTTGTTGAGACTTTCTATCTCTACTCTGAACTCAGACTTTTGTACCTCTTTCAGGATAAACATCTCGGCTGCTTTTAGAGAGTTTAAATCCAAAGATTTGGGACAGTAATGCCATCGTCTGGTCGAATGCTCACATGGATTCTTTGTCACCAAGATATGCCTCAATATGGCAATACTGTGAACCAGTTTTGTCAACTGTAAGTACCTTTCAAGGCGAGATACCACCAAGTCACAAGAGTCACCCTCGACACTCGTCTTGTTGACTTCAACCATTGGTCTCACTTCCTTGTCATCATCCAAGATGAAAGCAAAGTTCTGGTGCTCTCCCACTAAAGTAGTGGAGAGGTTGTCTTCCCTTAGGAATGCTGGTCCTCGCAGCCACATACTTTGTGGGAGACTTTGGGCATCGAACGCTCGAGTGCCCAAGTCGGCTGGGTTTTGGTCTGTAGCTATGTGTCGCCATTGTTCAGGATCACTAAAAGATCGAATCCTACTCACCCTGTTTGCGACATACACATAAAAACGTCTTGCATCATTAGTGATGTAGCCAAGAGCGATCTGGCTCACTGTAGAACCAGAAATCATTCTTCTCTAGATCCATGTGTTCTTTAATGATCTCTGCGATTTCTGTCCCAAGTACGGCCGCACACAATTCCAGACGAGCAATGGTATGCCCATGTGCTGGGGCTACTTTTGCCTTTCCCATAAGGAAACCATCATCACTGTTATCACCATCCTTCCACACCTTCAAAAATGCTACAGCTGCTATCGCATCCTTAGAAGCGTAAGTAAAGATGTTCACTTCCTTGCGCAATGCTTCGATAACAGAAAACTTGCAGCACATCCTTGGGATACTGATGTCCTGGAGATGGCGGATAGAGCTGACCCAAGCTGACCATTTCGAGTGAAATGAATCATCGAGAGGATTATCCCAATCAACATTGCCAGAAGTTGTCAACATCTGCCGGAATAACATCTTCCCCTGTACAGTCACTGGTGATGCAAAACCAAGGGGGTCGAACAGACTATTGATGGTTGATAAAACTCCCCTGCGAGTGAAGGGCTTCCCGTCAGTAGATATCTTGAATGTGAAGACGTCAGCATTGATGTCCCATGACATACCGAGACTTCTCTGGACAAGTAAATCATCTCCACCAATATCTAAATCCTTCCAGGTCTTTGGCTAGATCATCCGCTGGAAACTTCAACAACACTGACTTAGAATTTGAGGAGATTTTGTGAAGTTTTAGTTGTCCCCCTTCTTTCAGAGCAAGCTGAGTTCTCTTCATCAGTTCTATGGCCATATCTTCACTTGGACAACTTAAGAGTCCATCATCTACGTAAAAGTCTTTCGATATGAAGTCAATCACATCAGGGTCAGAGTAAGCAACACAACGACGTAGTCCATATGTTGCGAAGGCTGGGGATGGGCGATTCAAAAAGACATGGACGGTCATTCGGTACTCCTTTAATGGCAGGTCTAAATTGTTTTCTGGATGCCATAAAAAGCGCAAGTAATCTCCGTGATCTAATTTCACCTTAAAATTGTGAAACATCTGTTCCACATCCCCTATTACTGCTACCTTCTCACGACGAAAGCGTAATAGAATGCCTTGAAGATTGTTCGTGATGTCTGGACTTTTCAGGAGGACATCATTGAGTGAAATGTTGTTGAACTTCGCAGACGAGTCAAACACCATTCGTATGGAATCTCTTTTTTGCGGATGATAAACACCGAACATGGGAAGGTACCATCGTACTTTCGTATCTGGAATAGGTGGTGCTTCCTCTGCATGTCCCTTCTCAAATATTTTGTCCATGAACTTTGACACGTGTTCTCTCTTGATAAGGTTCCGTTTCAAACTACGATCAAGCGACAGTGCTCGATTGATGGCTTGGGGTTTATTGTTTGGTAACAGCTGCCTTTGGGTCCGGAACGGAAGAGGCGCCTCCCAATAACCATCTGGGTTCCTTTGGAATTCTTTGTCTATAATGTCAAGAAAGGTAGTGTCCTCTATGGATGGAGCAATTTTCTCATCATGATCTGTTTTCAAGAAATCATCATCCTTAACCAAGAGCTTGTTATCACAAGGCTGAAACACTGAAGGACGGCCATTGCTCAACACATATGTTTTATGTACTGTCACTTTATCAGGCATGTGAACAGCGTCTAGACAAACAGGCCCGATAATTACCCAGCCTAGGGGAAGTTTTTGAGCATAGGGAACAGGATTTCCTGTCACATGTCTTTGGTCCTCAACAACATGAGCAGAAATGAGATCTCTTCCGATCAGTAGTTCAATCTCAGCACTCTCAATCAGCTCTGGAATGCTGTCTTTGATATCTGCAAGGTGGGAAAATTGTTCAGCTATACGAGGCGATGGTATTTCCTCCCTGTTGTTCGGTAAATCTGAGCATTCAATTAATGTGGGGAGATCAAAGGAACAACTGCCATCAATGGATTCAACAACGAGTCCCTGAGCCCTTCTTCCTGCTGACATAACTGAACCCGAACAAGACGTCAAAGTGTATTCATACTCAGGTCCATCCACATTGAATGCATCGAGGAGTGAGGGTGCTGCTAGGGAATGATTGCTTTGGTCATCCAACATAGCATAAACAATTCTGCACTGATTTACAGAGTCTTTAAGGTATATTTTCACTGGCAGGATTTTTGCACAAGACTTGCTTGTCCCCTTCACTGTCCCACATATTTTAGTGCAAGAAATTGTGACAGCTTCACGACTTTGCTCCCCTCCATGGTTTTCCTTTTCCCTGCTATCTCGACGACTAGGACTGTCGATATGAAGTGCTGTAGGATGAGAGGACTGGCTACACAAGCCACACTTTATCAAGGTTGCACAATTCTTAGCATAATGTTTGTCAGGCCCACAACACTTTAGGCAGATTCCATTGGCTATAATAAACTTCTTTCTTTCTTCCATAGTCTTAGACCTGAACTTGGTACATTCATTCAGTGAATGTCTTGTGTGATGATAAGGACATCGTACTATATTATCATTTTCACTATGTTTAGACACAGGGGTTGTTTCTGTTTTTCTAGTCCGAACCTCCGGAATGGCTGAGTTGTGACGGATGGTTCGCTGACGCTGCTGTACAGGCATCTTCTCTGTCTTCTCGTAATTGAAGCTAGGATTGTTCTTCATTTTAGCCAGGTCCTTTATAAACTTCAGAAAAAGGAGAATGGGGGAAAAACAACAGTTTCACGGTTCTTGAACTTTGTAGCTTCAACTGTCCATTTTTCTTGGAAGCTGGGGGGTAACTTTGAAACAAGTAAGTTGACCCCTGTTGGAGAGTCGAAGTATGCAAACAGATTTGCATAAAGAGCCTGACGTTTTACTGAGGCTATTTCATCAGCTAAGTCTGCGAGACTGTACAGTCTCTTCGGGTCAGTAATTGAAATCCTTGGAAATGATGAAATCTGGTTCTTACGATAGTTCTCAATCAGTTTTGGGGCACCATAACGTTCCTCCAGCCTCTCCCACACTAAAGTGAGTGCTCTTGTCGGATTTTCAGCATTGCATTTCCGAATTGTGGCTGCCTGCTTAGAGGAGTCCGATCCAAGATAGCGTACCAGCAGGTCCAATTCTTCCGAAGGGTAGTGCTCAGTTCCTCCATAACTGCTTTAAATGAATGCTTCCACATAAGATAGAAGCTCGGATTGTCATCAAACTTTGTGAGCCGCGACAAACTAAGGTCCTTTTTCAAAAGAAACTTTGCTAAATCTGCAATTGGTTCTTTATTACAGTACATGTGATTTGCAGTCATAGGAATGTTGTTTATGGCTTCACCAGGGGGTAAGCACTGATTGTCACTGTTCACAACAGGCACTAAAGTTTCGCTTTTAAATGGTGTAGCGTGTGGGTTCAAAGGCGATGAGGAGAATTCAGGTAGATCTGGTAATGAGCCTGAAATTTGTGTTGCATTTAAAGGCTGTCGGGTTCAGTGAAAACGAGTCGTGCAGGCTGAACATGCATAGATGGCGCAGGATTTGTTTCCCAGGAATGCTGAGTGGGTCCATGAATTGTCTGCTGATGCGGCACAAGGTATGACCCATGTTGCTGAACAGCTGATTGTCTCTTGGGTAACTATTAACATACCGTTGTGTCCTCGACATGGAGTCTTCTTCAGGAAGGTTGAAATCTACAGACGTCTGTTTCAAAGCAGTGACTTCAGCCTTTTTCGTTTCTATCTCCTCTTCTATCTTAATGGCCTTCAACTTTGTCTCAAGGTCTGCTCTCTGGCGGATGATGTTAGCTTCTTCCTCCAGAAATTTCTTCTTCACAACAGCTGCCCGTAGTTCTGCTTCCTTTCGTTCTAAATAGCTTACATTTGACTTCACTGAGTTCCTGTGTGAGTACCGACTCTGTGAAACAGAAGGTGGTGGGGGATTCAATAGTCTATTCTATTAGACACCATACTTGCTTTACAGAACACTGTTTTGCATATCAGGTTGTGTGAGGATTCTTCATCATCACTTTCATAACTCCTAACTGTTCTAAGATATTCAATAAACTTGAATGAAAGTTCTTTGTATGCCTTTTCACATGACTGTATTAAATCTCTAACAGATTTCAGAGAGCTTGGATCATCCTTGATCTGATCAACGTGAGCCGCACCTGCGTCCATATCATCCTTAATGTTGCGTAGCTCCGTCGTGAATTTGGTCACTCTACGTTCATATTCCTCCTGGGCTGGAGTTCTTAAGTGTCTTCTCTTTGACTCTAATGGTTCACCTGCTTCCATTAACTCTGTGTATAGGTAAGTCATCATTGTTTGGTGATGAGTCCAGATCTCTTCCTGTGCACAAACAAGCTTTAAAGATTTTCAAAGATGTTTATTGGCTTCCTCATTGGTAGATATACTTCAGAGGGTAAGAGACTACAATAATAAAAAGTCATCTTACAAAGTGGTAATTAGAGGCAAACAACTTATATTTATAAACATCAAATTGACAAAGTTGCTACAAACTAACATTCCACGTTTTACACAATGCCTAAATTCAAAATTTCGAGAAAATAAGGATTTATGACAGTAAAAATGATGCTCCCAGATACATGTTCATTGTAGAATATATCAATTAACTTATGAGTACGAGTAACTTCATGTAAATGTCTTGGAAATGTAACAAAATAATACAGATGATAATATCTAATCCAGTTTTCACATAATGCCATGACCATGTGCGCTTTCCAATTTATGTTTCATTAAAATATGCAAAAACAGTTTGACGACAATATTTGATAACTAAACAGTATTACACATTTTGCACATAAAACTTACTCTTTGGACTCTCTAACAGCAACGAAACAAGTGGTAAATTTGTCGTTGACAAAATGCGGGATCTTCCCGGATGTACACAAACATAATCTGAAACACTATAAAATCTGAACCGGAACGGATAATATCCGTAACACCACATTGAATATAACAAGTTTGTATCAATGACAAAATTATAAGTTATTTTTGGAAACTTTAAATTCAATGGTTATTAAACTTCTGTTAATTTAAATGTTGTTAAATCATATGTGAAACGCTGTGCCTGTGCACTTGAAACAAGGGGTTGATCTCGGCGTGAAAAAAAATGAAAAAAAAAAAGAAATAACAATACCTCTTATATAATTTTTCTTTAAAATATATTATTTTTTATACGCCGGGAGCAGGCGCCTTATAAACTGATTTTCAACACCGTTCCAGTAAACGTGTCATTCTACTTTAAGTTCTTTATAGAAGTTACTTCCCTTCGGCCACATGTAATAGCCTTATTTGATTTGATTGCTGTAGGATTGGGCTACACGTACGTTGGAATAAAATTTTTAAAAGGTAGTATAAAGTGGAGAATCATTGATCATTAAACCTTGTAAAGGGACAAAGTGTTTTTTCAAAGTCTGACTCTGATTTGAACCACAGGGGCATCTTATCTGCTCTGTTCTCTACTTCACATATGAAAATACATTTTTATTATATTTTTATATGTGTAGTAGAGAACAGAGCAGATAAGATGCCCCTGTGGTTGAACTAGACAACACAATTTACACAACTTGCAATAAAAAAAATGTCACATTTTGTTAAATATGCAATTAGTGAACTTTACATCAAGCTATTCAAAGAATAACAAATTCATTTTTTAGCAATCAACTATTTTGTTTTTATTCAACTACTAAATGAAGTACACATTTTTATTGAATAAAGAGCAGAATAAAGTAAACATGGATCATAATATTGTGAACACTTAATATTAACAAGACCACAATGGAATCTGTAGAAGTCGATTATATATCATTCAAATTTTGAAAATATTCTCCTTAAATCACTTAATATGGATTTGAATATAGTTTGTGTCATTTATATCTAATGATTAATTTTGACGTCAAAAGTATTCAACTAAAGGTCTGATGACACGTTCCTTAAATACTTTTGTATCTCAAAGTAATTTACCAAAAAAAGGTAAAAATTTTGTTCTTGTTTTATTTCTAAACAGTTTTCGAAATGAAACACCCCAAAAATTGACATCATTTAAGTTATGTAAAGGAAATACAATCCCTTGATATTCTGCACAAATGCCTGGTAAGGTACTCCCAATTTTCAAGGAAATTAGTTAGCAAAGCTTCAAACACAATTTAACTATTTGGAAAAATTATATGTCATTGAAGTCTGACCTTAAGATTTTACAATTTACCTTAGGCCAATGTTTTTGTTTTATAATTTTAGGGGGAAATAGTATATCATATTCTGAAGAAGCACAGCAATTATATTTATTCATTTCCAATTTGAAGAAATTCAATAATGGTGACATGAAAATCAATTGTTAAATTAGAAAATGTAGGGAAATTCTCTTGTCAACAGTATTATGATCCACCACTGTACATTTTAACATTCATTTGAAAACTGGAAAATTATGAAACAGAAATTTCAAATTATCTGAATTTCATGGTACCGTAGTTATCTAAAGTAAAAGTGGCTTAAAATGGAGATGCTAAATTTCTTCAAAGTCTCCCAAATCAAGTGATGGTGAGAAGCATTCATTTATGGTGCATGCTAGCTGTCTTTCCTAAATTGGTTTAGTCTTTAGTCTTCTTTGCAGGTCTTCCTTTTCTTTGCCTTTTTTGCTGGATTGTACTGCTCACTTAAAAGAAAGAAAAGGATAATAAAGGTAAGCCAACACTTTAAATTTCTGTTCGAGCCTAATTAAACCTGTTGACTTGCATATTTTTCCTTAGTGTATTAATGTTTAAACATCAGCAGAATTCTAAAGTTTAGATTGCTCTGAGTTGAGAGTAATTTTTAACAGACATTAATTATGATAAATAGAAAATAAAATAATAAAAGTTCTTAGCTTTTTCTAAGTAATTTAAAGTAATTAAAAAAGCAATTTAAAATGAATTGCTTTGCACATCCTTGATTTAATTATTTTTTTTATCATCTAATGTAGGTAAAGTGTTCCGAACCGGAGAGCAGTGAAGCAAAAGAAACTTAATTACATTTCAACAACTGTCAGTCCTCTCGATTTTCCGATTGCGTGGACCCCTTCCTGGAAGGTCTTGTCAGGGAAAAGTTTTACAAGTTGTCCACTTGTAATCTTCAATGTTACTCCTTCTACTATAATGTAGATGTATTCTCTGGAAAAGATAAATGGAAGTATTGAGAGTATTTTAAAAGATCTGAGTTAACAATATAGTCCAAGGAGCAGGCCTGTAGGAAGCAATTTCAGTTTGGGAAGGCATAGCCATATATTTTCAGTTTGGGGCACTATCAACTACCAAAATTTCCTTGACAAGCAAAAAGAAGTGTTGAGGGGCACGAGCATATAGTAGCTATGTTTTCTATTGTATAGTATATATCGGCAAAACTATTGGGGGGGGGGGGGGCAACCCCCCCCCCTCCCCTGGTTCCTACGGCCATGCTAAGGACAATGAAGTTTTTTTTTCTTTTACCACATCTTCCACACTTCCCTCCTCCAAAAGATATGTTTTACTTTTTTTTTTAAAGTTTATGGTCCGTCCTAATTTTTTTTTTGAAGTTTATTTATCTTCAAATTTTAAATGTCTAAGGAAGGAAGAACATCCCCACAAACTGTGTTGGCTCCAAAAAAAAAGCTTAGTATGAAGATAAATTGTTTTTTTTTATCAAAATCTGATAAAAGGTA